AGCTTGGTGAATTATTCCTGAATACTACTAAAAGAAATTACAAGAAAGCGAATGGTTGTCTGTCTCTGTGTGTTAGCCCTGCGACAGACTGGCAACCTGTTCAGGGTGTACCCCTGCCTCTCACCCTATGACAGCTGGGATAGGCTCCCGCAACCCTGAAAAGGATAAACAGAAGCGAATGGATGGAAACTCCTTAAAATAATACAGACTCTTTGCCTTTTATACTGCATGCATGTTTGCAAATCCTTTAATAAGTATAGCAGACATTTCCTGTTCTTTCTCACAGTGTACTACTACTACTACCAATACTTAATAACAATAATAATGATCATTTCAAACTATTTTAAGTATATTTATATAAGTACAGTATAGTATAGTCTATAAAATGCTGAGTGTACCTTTAAATTACTAAGTATTTAAAAAGTAAAGAAGTACTTGTTTTATTCCAATAGTGAATCTATATAAATAATGCATGTTTTATGTGTTTTAGCCACTCACCTATCTGCGTAAATACTGAAGAAAAGAGTCACACTCCCCAGGAACAGAGATAATAAACTTAACACCACCATTGCCATTTTCTAGGAAATCTCTATAAACATGTGTATGTGAATACAAACCAAAAAAAGCATCATTTGTTTTATGCAATTCATATTTACTCCTCTGCTAACTAGTAACTGCTGCAAATACATATCATCGTTTTTTGTCGAAACACAGTTTGAAAAAAAAAACTTCTCTACATCCACTACAACCTTTGCTGTCTCTCTTATATTTGTCTCCATCTAGTGTTGGAAAAGTAAATATTGCTTTCTATAGTGTACAAACATCAACAATAAATCAAATATTTACATAAATAAAACTGGACATTCACTCTTCTATTAGTATTATTTTATTATTTTTATTTGCAGATCTTACCACTGTCCACATGGAGAAAAATCATTGGATCTGCAGGGGATCTGGTGCTAAAATAAGAAGGAGTCAAATCTATATAAAAAAAATATAGAATCATTATTATTATGTGACATAAGTGTATATTATACTTCATTTGGATTAAAAACAAATAACTGTTATAGCCAAGGGTTAAGTGTGACATGGGTAGTTTGGGTACTCTAATAGTATGACATTTATTTGTGTACAAACTGTGACCAGCTGATGTATGCTCATGCTCCAGTATTCAGTGCTCTTTGAGTATTTAGCATTTCAACAGTGAGATGAATAGACCTTTGAAAATAATTTCTCATCTTTCTCTGCTCTCTTTCTTAAATCTTTTTCCAGTTCTACACTGTAAATTTACAACTTTTTTCTCTCCTTTGAAAATTTAACAACTGCACATTTTCTTGCAGACACATTTTGTGAGACAAGCTTCACAAAAACAGTTTGTGTATTTGATGGTATCTCTTGAGCTTTATTTCAAGTTACTACTGCCACTTGCTGTTGTTACTCCATTTATGCACACTCCTTTGTCTGCACTATGAATACACCCCACGGATGAGGGAAAAAAAGATGTGTCAAAGGTGTAAGCAGTTATGGGATGTCATGTTTTTCTAATGACTGAGCAAATATCTCAATGCCATCACTAGAAGAACAACTTTAACTAAAGGTGCCAGAATACTACTTTAACCCCGATTGTAAACCTAAACTATGTCTTGCATAAATTTATCTTATTGCAAGTCATTGTCTAAAACAGGCCCGAATAGGAGTGGTTCAATCAAAGACTTCTAAAATGGTTATGTGTTTACATGCACATACACAACACTGGGTAAATTATGGCTGAGATATTCTTACCTGTTTCATCCTGTCTGTATACATCAGATATATGACTGGAAAGAATCTCTGGTTCCAACGATTCCCCCAGATGTAGGTGAGGATTGATATTTTTATGTTGGCTGGTTTTGCCATTGCATAGCGTCTGGCTGTCAAGTGTTCTCCACCTGCTCCCCTGCTTCTAAAGAACCAGAGGCAAACGTTTTTATCTTTCAGCTTTGTGAAAACATTCAACAATATTCTCTAGCTTTTAAATACATTTAAAATAATGTAATTAAGATGTTATTATCATACGTGGAAAATTTCTTTTCTCCATCCTTAATATTATTACCTTCTTATCTCCTCTTGAAAGGAAGACCAAAGTGGATTGTTTTGTAGCAGTAAGGTGGAGCCCCTTCCCTACCACAGTGAGGTGGCCTTCTCTGGAGCATGTCCATACCTGGCTTCCTGGCTCTCTTCTATCACCATCCTTGCCACTTGCAGTTCTGAAGACACAGGGCTGCAGATGCACACCTTCATATTGCTCTCTTGGTGCAGTCAGACATTCTCCAGTGTGGTAGTTGCTGACAGCCTGGCTCTCTTGGTGCCAACGCCATTCCTGTATAGGTGAGCATGGGCTGCATTCGCCCAGTGACACTCTACCTCCTTCGGTTCCTTCTGTAACCTGCAGACATTTACCCAGCAGCTTGTTTTGAATCTTTAAGGCAGACAGCTCTGTGGATGACAACATACAAATAAAACATAAAAGAATAAATAATTAAAGTACCCATAAATTTTATGTAATAAATGTGTGTTAAAAGATGCATTTGGTATGTCTGATATGCAAAAAGCTGTATATTTTATTATTTAAAACAAGGTAATATAACTGGTTAGCAGTCAGTACCAAGCCCACATGCTTACCTGTAGAGAACCACAACCTTATCTAGGTAACCTACAACTGCTCTCTGCTGTACTCATTTTCTGTGTGTCAACCACATTAACATTACTACTTAAGTGGACAAACACATGCAAATCCAGGCAAACATGGCTCAACATGCAGTTTGTAACCACACAAGAGCACTTCATTCAACAGTAAAACAACTAAATAAACAAACACATGTTTATTTTTTTGTTGTCGTTATTGTTTTAGGTTGATAAATCCTGCAATGGAGCTTCATCTGTTTAGCTCTGCAATGCTGTGCTTTGAAACCACTGACTGAACCTATGTGTAATGCATTTGAAACCAAGACTAACTGACCAAGCAGTGAAGTTCACACTTTATTACATATAAAAAAATCTAGCTGTTTAAATAAAAGCCTTTAGAGGTGTCAATCAGTTATAGTCTATAAATATGCCCTTCATTTTAAACACTGCTGTTTTTTCATAGTTCTGATGTAATACAGGAGTCATAACTGCACCTGCTTTGCTTTACAAATAGGACAAAATTCTGGTGGTTTTTGAGAAAATGACACCTGCAGACCTGTTTCTCTGTTAAACCAACTCACAATTCATTAGGTACCATTAACAAAAGCAGTGATCCCAAAAATGCTGACATCTACAAGGGAATGAAATCCGGCAACCTGCGGGTGCTGCTGTAAGCTATGATCTTTGTCTGAACCCACACATAACAGAACAAAGCCAGTCCCAGGGCGCATAGAAAGGAATGAAATGTATCCACATTACTTCAACAAAGTTACAGCTACAATAAAAAAAGGTCTGGAAGAGCATGAATGCTGCGAACATATGATAGTTTGACAAAACTAAAACATTTTAACGTAAAAATCAATGGTTCAAACCCTGTCAGCGTTTTTTATCAATATATGTACGAGCTTTCAGTGAAAACAAGAAATTTTGGGCATGACCTTAAACTTCTCACCCACAGTTTTTGTTTGTATAGACAGATTAAATTTATTATCTCTTTTATCAGCTTCATCCATCCATCCATCCATCCATCCATCCATCTTCATCCGCTTTATCCAAGGCCGGGTCGCGGGGGCAGCACTTGCAAAATGCCTTTCAGCTACTTAAGAAATGTTTACAACAGTTCGAACAGCTAAAATTAAAACTGTTTTTTTAAAAATAACAGCTATATTACTGAGGTAAACAGCGACACATGTTACCTTTGAAAATGATGAAGAGGAAAAAACAGACGTTCAGTAGCACTTTTCCCATTTTGGTGGCAGGCGAAAGTAGCCTATCCTATGGTCATGTGCTTGTGTTGTCTGAGCAACAGCAGCAGGTGGGAGGAGCTAAGCATTCACAATATCAATAGATGAGCAATAAATACAATAAATAGTGACCATATGACACTTTTTAATCCTCTTAAGGAGGAATGAAATGTTTAAGTATCATTTAGATTTCTTTGTTTGCAATGAAATGCTTCACAACTGTCCAGAGGAGTTTAAACTATTCAAGATCACTCTTACAAGTGCTGTCCCTATTCTCCACCCATGACTGGCAGACCTTTTTAATGCTAACAGTACAGTTTCTCCTTCCACTAGAAAACCATTGCAACCGATACCACCTTTACTGATAAACATGCAATGTTTGCCACTGTGGCACACATGAGTTATTGCCTGCAACCAAGGTGCTACGACTCCATGGAATACTAATTAGGTTTAAAGGGGTGTAAATCTGTTTTAGCAAGACAACAAGTCTTTGAGGAATGTTTGTGGGGCTGAATGGTTATGTGGTGTTTTTCTCTGTAAAGATTCACCACATAGGATGCTATCGGGATAAAATTCCCTACTCCCTGCACATAAAAACAGCTGGAGCAAAACATTTTTTGTCCTGTTTTCAGCTGATAAATGTCAGGCTTATGATTCAAAATTATTTCCTACTTAATGATCTTTAAGCTTGGGTATAAAACATGTTTTGGTAAAAAGAACAAAAAAGTTTGTTGCACATATGAACCAATGAATCAACATGAATGAATAAAGATCTAAATTAAATGTTAAAATATTCAGTTTTATCAAACTTTAATAAGCTTATATTTATTTTTATCTTCAATGGGGGACGCAAACACAATACTAGCACAAAAAGTAGGCAATGCATGTTTTGGCCTTTGAAAAAACAAAAAATAAAAAAAGCAACATCAGTGGAGGATGTCAATTGGACTGGAGTTGTTCACCATAACTCCTAAAAGCCCAGCTCTATGTCACATTTTCCGATACATGTTACCCACAAAAAGTCAGAAACATTATGGTACATCTTGAGACAGTCTGGGACCAGGAATATATTCATATGTAGGATTTACAAAATGTCTTGACACATGCTCAATTATCCAGGTTAGGAATCCCAAAAAGTATATTCAGTTCATTTCAAGGTAACATTCTCAGTACGAAAAAATGTCTGAACAATTATCCAAGTGTCTAAAGAAATTGCTTACAGTTTATTTAAGGCTTATTCGCTTAATAAATCCAGTTCAGCTTCTACAGTCATTCATTCATTCTGATGCTGGTAAATGGACAAATATAGTGGAGGTTCTTCTCCATGGAGAGCAGTAGGGCCTGGATGTTGCACAGATGGTGCTATGAAAGCTGGAACTGAACCCTGTGAAGCAGCACCTTGTGGCCACTGGTTATAATCACTTGTTATATTTGCATGCTGAGTGGGATCTGGGGTGGGGTATTGATAAACACCTGACCCTGTGAGTATAGGATCCAATCCAGTGGTGAAAGTAGAGGATGTGAACTCGCTGTAAACTGGAGACTCAACTGTCTCAGGCCCCACAGCCTCACGACTCTGAGCTGGAGCAAATTTAGAAGGAAGGATGACCAGTGGAAACACCACCTCTGGGTCAAGGGCAAAACTAACGTCCAGATACACCTGGGAAACAGTCAGAGATGAAGAAACTTGTAAAGCATTATAATCTGCAATAAAGATGTTGTGTTAAGACACATATTTACTTTTTATTATTTATCCACAAATGTTTGCAAAAAAGCAGGTTCATTTCTGAGGTAATACAAATCATGTATTGTTTCATACCTTTATGTAATATTCAACTGAGATGATTTCACAGTTATGGAGGGTGGGAATGGCATCGCTGGGAACTTTCAGCTGGCAGGAGGCAGTTTGCTCTGAGTTTGGACGGATAGTGTCTCCGACCATTTTGAACAGCGTTTCCTTGCTGCTATTAGTGTTGTCCTGGCAACTGTACACAGTTACCTGCTGAAGTTTGAATTTGAGCCTTGTGTTCCTGGAAGAGGAGTTGCAGATTTTGGCGACAACAGACAAGGTTTCACCTGTCAAAAGCAAATATTAACAATAAGCTGCATTTTTTTTTTTTTTTTTTAGTCTATCAACATTTGCTAGAGCACGTTGCAGATACTTTACCTGGAGAACAAACTCCTCTGTTAATGGTAGCACAGATCTGGACCTGTCCCTTGCAGAGACCACTCATCTTTTTACGCACTGAACTGGACTGTGGACACTATAACAAACCAAATAAACATTTTTCCAGATCAACTAAATGCCTCATGTGGAGAAAATGCAGAAGAAAATACCTCAATGTTGTTTTTAGGCTTCAGATCTAGTCCAGGTAATCAACGCTGAATTCTCTTGTATGTTACATTTGCACTGTTGGTATGTTTGAACTGATGACTATCCCCAAGATGTATAAACAAAAAACTTTAAAGTGTAAAAGGTAATTCAGGTTTTTGAATCTGAAACATTTTTTATTGAATAGTTAGAACACATTTTCCAAAAATCTGATGTTTAACACATGTCACTCTAGTGTTTACCATCATTTGAGGAGTGTGTGGACAGGACTTTGACACAAAGTTGATCTCTTTTAGCACTTTCGAAGGCAGTCGCCATCTCCTAGATACCTTGGCTTCAAAGGTGTAGACAATATTTCCATGTTTTCCCTTAAAGGACGAAGGCATCCTTCTGTATAACAGAACTAATTAGGAATGCATTCATTTGCAAAAGCAAGATATGTATTAATGTTGGATGCTGCAAATTCTCACTTACCCCTCTGGGATTTTGAGCCTGAACTTAAAGATGTGCACTCTTTTTGGAAGAACAGTCCCTGCAAGAGTCGTTTGATTAACATTTGATCTCAATCTCATATTCTCAAAGTTAACTGTTTTCTTTATCTCTGCTACACTATTTAACCCATTGATACTTCCTTTTGTCTGGCTTTTGTTTTGTTTGGAATTACAGATAAAAGTGTTAATATTTTTTAACTATAGCTGCCAATAACAGATAATAAAAGACAAGTTAACCAACTTGAATTAGTTCAATCTTTTTTGTGGTTTGACCTGGAATCCTATCATGCACACCTCGATAACATGTCTTTATTTATTCATTTATTTATTTAGATTTTTGTTCTTATTATTTTGGGATATATCTTTCCTCAGACTCTTCACTTCATAAAAAGAAAAAAAAACTTTTTTTTTAAAGTAAGCAATTTTGCTTTTTAATACAACACATTGCCAAATTTCCTGATAAATTTCATAGCTACAAACACCTTTAAGTACAACAAACTCTGTTTGACTTTGACATCCTACCTTCATCGTTTTCTGCAACCAAGTATTCCTTCACTTTGAAATATCTCCTGCGCGCACTTTGCAGTCTCTCGACAGGTACACCTACTTCTGTCCATTCTACGTTAGCGTCCCCTTTGGCTTTTACATAAACGCTCTTGACTTTGACTTCTTTTGTCAGTCTGAAACTGACTGTACCCACTATAGTATCGCCTTCAGAATAACTGCTGTTGTCACTGATTGTTTCAAAAGTCACATTTAAGTTCTTTATCGGAGACATTTCAGAGCCGAGTGAAATGCAGAGCGTTTTTCTAGGAACTAATAAACTGAAGCAAGATATGACAGGAAGCTCCGCCTAAAGAGTGAGATCGTAATTTATGATTCTACCCAATATCACAACATCTAAATATCATATAAAGAGAAACGTCATATATTTACGCAGTTTAGGGTGATGTGAGAAAAACTACCAGGCCACAAACGATGTTCACAAGAAGAAGATCACATTCACAGCAAATTGGCAGGTTTTTAAAGTATATTCCAGTAAAACCCCGAAACCTATTAAAATATGCTTATGATGTACTGGTAATTGATCGGACTAGCGATCAATCAAAAACTGTATAGAGTATTGCAAATTTCACCCCGTGACAACAGCGATAGGCTCCAACCCCGGGCTAAGAAAATTGAAGGATGCTCTTATAAACTTTTGCATCACCAAAATCACTCGTCAGAGTCAGACTGGGCAAAAGCATTTGCCCTGTGATGCGAGCATTGATTATTCGGAGATATTCCGTCCCATTCAGCAGAGAGAGTTTGTTTTGTTTCGTCAGCAATGATTCAGATTCGTCCCATTTGGGTGTTGAAACGAAACCATCGTGTCCTTTGTGCCAAATTGCGCTGAATTCTGAGACGTGGACTGATTTTGGCTCGCCCGTGATTATGCGGGAAAAGACTTGTTTCTAAGAAAGTCTGCATGCAGTTTGGTCTGAACGGTAAAAAAAAAAAAAAAAAAATCAGTCGAAACAATTTAACTCTTCCAGATTGCAGTGTAGATTTTAGTGTAAATTATTTTGTGTGTGTGTGTGTGTGTGTCTCTGTGTGTGTGTGTGTGTGTGTGTGCGTGTATGTGTGTGTGTGTGTGTGTGTGTGTGTGTGTGTGTGTGTGTGTGTGTGTTTATTAATTTATATTATTTAATTTAGTGTTATTCGTGGTTTTAGTGCTCCCTACTGATCTGCTACTGTGTGTTATATCCTTAGTTTCTAGTCTTTAGGTTTCTGTTACTGTGCCCCATGTTCACATGTTCGTACATCTCCTATGACCCCCTGTCAGTCATGTGTCCTGGTCTCAGTGTCAAGTCGGTGTCTTAGTCTGTCTCATGTTTCCCGTTTTATTTTGATGGCCTCTCGTCTAGTGTTTAGTCTAATCAGTTTTGCTTCCTCCCTGTCTCGAAAATATTATGGCAACACTGAGAAGGCAAATCATTAAGATGTGTTGTGAGATACAGGTGATGGTGTTTCTGTCTTAGTTCTCTAAGCAGAACTTCAAAAAGCTCAATTCTTCTGGCCAGTTCTTGTCTGAGGTTCAGACTAGGAAGAACGTAGCTATAATATTGAACCTGAAATATGATCCCCCCACCCACTAGGGAACCACTCTCAGCTGTGGGTTCACCTTCTTCTGCTGAACTCATAGAGCAGCAAACAACCAGTGCAGAGAAATACCGTAGCATCACTTTCATCGCTCACTCCTCAACTCCTGTGAACCATAACAAGTGTGGCCTCTCTAAACATCAGTAACTAAGAAAACATGTAGGTAAAACAGTAGGTATCCTACTTATTGCTGACTTTATTATTATTATTATTATTATTACTATTATTATTATTATTATTATTATTATTAATAATAATAATAATAATAATAATAATAGTAGTAGTATTGTGCTTGGGTTTTTAGACTCTACCAGTTACACAGATGTCTCTTCCTCTGGGCTGTTTAAAGGGGCAGTTTATACAAATGGCCTTTTAAACAGCCCAGTTTATCCAAAGTTGTGTATATACCAGATGCTGTCAGGCTTCAAATGTATGTATTTGTCCTCTCCACAGTCCAATCCATTGTAAGCCATTGATCTACTGCTTAAGTTCACATCTTCAGTTCGAAAATGGAGACAAGCATCGAAATTGATAAATTTTGCAAGCACAAAATGGTTAGTAAAAGAACGTCAAGGAATACTAAATTATGTAATAGCTTAAAATATTAATTTCCATACACAGCGCTTACCACTTGTAAATGGTGATGATCATCACAATACTGTTGGTGTTCTGGTTTCTTTTATCAGAAACACGATTCAGTGAAACACAGCTGAATTAAATTCCCCTAGTCATGCATATAATAAATATGTGAGTCACATACAAAACTCATTTCTGCATGCATATACAGACTAAGAAACACATCATTTTACGCAGCCCACATTTGAAACTATATATTATCCTTCTCTAAGCTCTGATTGTTGTACATATATTTCCTCATTTACATACAAGTTACTCACTTTCACAAAGCTCTGAGGCTAAATAAAAAAATACTCAGCATCCTCTACAAACATCCAGTACAAACATTTGCTTTTTCTCACCTATTTGTCTCCATCTAGTGGTGGATTTCCAACAGATAAAATTGTAAGTAGATTATTAATTAATTAGTTGTGTGAGAGCTGGAATCTAGGAGTTAGCGCTACCCATAGGCGAGTGCAAGCAGTTAGGATTTCTTAATTTGAGGTGTCAGTATTTGATGGAAATCCTTTGTTGAGATTGGTGGCGTGACTGGACTAGAGTGGTCCATTGCTAAAGAGGTAGGGCAAAGATAACAGTGTTAGGTCTGAGTCAATATGGTGCTTAGTATTGAGCGCTGTGTTTAATCTTTAGGACAGTTTTGGTAAAGTTTGGTAAAGCAGGAGGAATACCCCCTGTGAGCTTTGTGATTGTTTTTATAAATATATTCCAGTTTTCTGATTTTCACACCAGACTGCTGCTTCAGACTGCCTGCTGTTTTTAGTATTTATACTGGTTAGTATTGCTCAATAGATGGGAACCAACTGTCAGTCTGTAGTGTGACCTAACCTTGTTTTTTGTTTCCCCACAGGAGATGAAATGCTGCGGTAAGTTATTGTGGTTTCCTAACTGCTCCTTGCATGCATCGCATGTAGGGCAAGTTGACGTGTGGGCATTCAGTGGTTTTTTGATGGTTTTTCTTAAATAGTTCCCACAGTAGGGCGTAACGTATGTTATAAAAGTAGTATGTAGCATTATTCTTGACATTATTACCTAGTGTAACTCTCGTTGGAAGTGGAGAAAAGAAAAAACAATGTCTTAACAAATCAGTGATCGTCTTTAATGGAAAAGGTAACACTCTTCCTAAATGTGTTAAAAGTGAGGCAAACAATGGAAAGTAGAACAACCTGCCCCCTAAATCTCTGACCACACTTACCACTTTTGTATGATGAAATGTACAAACACACAGAGGTGTGAGAAAACACATTGGTGCATCTCCCAAAGAGGCAGCAGTGGAAAACTATGAGCTCAGAGCAAAAACGGAAGGACATAAATAAATGCAAGCACTCACAATGACCGACCTGCTCTAACATGTGTAGATGAGTCAAAACGTTCTTTACAGTGTTTTTATTCTGAGTCTAAACTCTTGTGCAGTTCTCTGTTACCTATCGTAGCTACTTTTGTGCTGGCGAGATGTTTTTTCCATGCTCGCTCGCTCTCTCCCTCCCCACGCCCCTGCTTGGTTAAATTGTGCATATAATGGCAGAGTGTTACTGACATGTTGTGTGCGGTAAAAATGGTCATCACCACTGTTCAAAGCTCTTAAAAGCAATATATCTCACCTTTATGCTACAATCTTCTTAAGTCCAGCGTTTATCTATGGCAACTTGCTATACTATTGCTCAGGGCAAACCAATCTCTTCTCTCATCACACACAGCCAAAATGTGTTTGTCCCCCTGGATTCATCAAAAAATCCAATTAACCGTTTGCATTTTCATAATGTTTTAATATTCCAATTTGTTCCAATTCATCTTAGGAAATAACTGTTTTACCACAGAAGGCAACCGCTGATTTTCTACAATATATTAGAGGCTTTACTCTTGATTTTTTCAGCTTTGACTAATAAGTAATCATTATATTATAACCAAAAACCTTCTATAAAGCTTCTTTGTTTCATGTACATTATGATAACACATTACATTTCAGCTGCTGTGCAGGTTGAGGAATGACCTTCTATCCCTTTGATAGCACTGTGACACATACATCCAAGTTTAGACATTCACCTGGTGGCAGTTTATTCCTTTAACCATCCATCAAGTTATTTTATTGGATGTTATCAAGATGCTGTCATGCTATGATCACAGTGCTCAGAAACATCTAATTTTAATAATGAAAGCTCTCAGTTATAAGATTTTATCAGCAATTTTTCAAAACAAAAGCTTCCCATTGACAGTAATCAGATGTGAAAAGTGCTTCTGAGTCTGTTTCAGCTGACAGTGAAGGCATTGCAGTATAAAACAGTAAGTAGTTTAACAGAGACCATGTTGGTCATCACGAAAACCATAAGCTAGGAGTAATGCTAAGTGTTTTGCCTCAAGAATCTGATATGCCACCATACATAGAACAACATAAACAATTCAATATTTTTCAAAGTAAAGTGCAGCATACTCCTAAGGATAACACTGCTAAACAGACCTTTCACCTCAAATCTCTAAGCATAAACACAAATTATATGTGACATTGTTTTTTATATATATTTAAAACAACAGACAATGCATTTACATTCCAGTTTTCAAAACACTGAAAAAACAAGCAAAATTATAATAACAAATATAAAAATGTGATCTATAATTAAAAACATGTCTGTTGTTAAACAAATTGTTATGTGGAGTATAGAGAGTAGAAGACTGACTAAAGGAAAATCACTTACTTCTCTTATTGTTTGTTCTGTCACTTCTTGTGTCTCTGGTTACCCTACTGATATCAAGAGGTGAAAACTGCTCAGTCACATGATTTAACCCCCAGTCCCATTTTTCAGGCCCTTTAAAAGTCACAGTTTTGGGGTACAGCTCTGATTACTTGGTATAGTATATGGCCAGCTACGTCTAAATAGGGTATAGGACATAGAAACTTTCTGCAACTGAACACATTCATGATTTGTCCAGTTAGTCTTATTTTCCCTCCAAAATATTAAATATTAAAAACACAGTTTTTGTATAACACATTTAATTCCTTTGTGGGACAACAGCTGGAAGGCCTCTTCTGTCCTGCCAGTTGATCATCAACAAGAAGGGGGCAGCTTTATGATTCTGCCTTCTGAACCCTGTTTAACCCATACCCAACTGTGACTTTTGAGGTGTCCCCTGCTATTAATATTTGGCCCATTCACTTACACTCACAGTGTTTCATTTTGATGCTGGTAAATGGATGTATATAATGGAGGTTGTTCCCCCTGTAGAAAAGTAGTCAGAGTAGGACCTGGATGTTGCATTAAAGGTGCTTTAAAAACTGGAGCTGAAATCCCCTGTGCAGTAGCACCGTGTGACCACTAGTTAGAATTGCCACTTGTTATATTATCATGCTGAGTAGCATCTGGGGTGGGGTAGTGACCTGACACTTTGGGCTCAGAGCCAAATCCAGTGTGGAAGGCAGGGGAAGCGAAGTTGCTTTAACTTGTGACCACAGTTGTCCCAGGTGGGTGAGGCCCCACAGCCTCACCAGGCTGAATGGCTGCACATCTGGAAGGAACGATGACCAGTGGAAACACCACCTCTGGGTCAAAGGCAAAGCTAATGTCCAGATACACCTGGGAAACAGTCAGAAATTGAGAAACTTGTAAAGAATTATTATTATCTGTTCTAATTAATACATAGTTGAGACACACATTTCCCATGTAGCATATTTATTCACACATGTTTAGAAACAAAGCAGTTTTATTTCTGAGGGGATGTGATGTCACCAAGAAATTGTTTCATACCTTTATGTAATATTCAACTGAGATGATTTCACAGTTATGGATAGTGGAGATGGCATCATCAGGAATCTTCAACTGGCAGGAGACAGTTTGCTCTGAGTTTGGACTGATAGTTTCCCCAACCTCTTTGAACAGATTCATCACCCACTTCTTAGTAGACTCATTGCAGCGAAATACTGTTTTTTGTTCAAGTTTGAATTTGGGCCTCGTGTTCTTGGAAGAGGAGTTGCAGATTTTGGCAACAACAGATATAGTTTCACCTGTAAAAATCAAATCAGAACATTAAACTGCATTTTTAAATCTATCAACACTCGCTGCGCAGCGTGAAGTTACTGTACCTGGAGTGCAAACATTCCTGTCAGTGGTAGCAGACATTTGGACCCGTCCCTGGGAGAGCCCACCTATGTTTTTACTCACTGTACCAGATTGTGGATGCTATGACAGACCACATAGACAAACATGTTTACAATTTAATGCGTGTGATTTTTAATGTGAGTTTTTTCACAAAGCACTTTCCAAATATCACATTTATAGCACGTATCAGTGCAGTGTTTACCATCATTTCCCAAAACTGTTGAAACGTCTTGGAAATGAAGTTGATCTTCTTTTTAACTTTAGAAGGCCACCACCAGCTCCTGGACATCTTTGCTTCAAACATGTACACAATTTTTCCATATACCCCCTTGAAGGATGAAGGCATGCTCCTGTAAACAAAACCAGTGGGAAATGTATGCATTTGCCAAAGCATCGTATGACAGTATTAATAATTCAAATTCCCACTTACCCCTCTGGGATTTTGAGCCCGAACCTAAACGTGTGGACCCCTTTGGGAAGTACAGTGCCTGCAAGAAACGGTCAGCAAATGTCGGCTTTGTCACAGAGCTACAGTGATATACTGCTGATCATTGAAGCCAGGTTATATTCCTTAAATGTAGTGTTTTCTTTATGTCGGCTGCACAATTTAACCCTTGCATTCTTCCAAGTGTGTTAAAGCCTCTCACCTTTACCATTTCTTGCAATTAAGTACTCCTTCACTTTAAAATATCTCCTTTTTGCAGTGTGGGTAATCTGGAAATATCCTGTTCCTTCTGTCCATTCTGCCTTGACGTCTCCTTTGGCTTTTACAGAAAGGCTCTTGACTTTAACCTCTTTTGTCAGCCTGAAACTAACACTGCCCACTATAGTATCTCCTTCAGAATAACTACCGTCTTCGTTGATAGCTTCAAAGGTCACGTTTAAGTCCTTCATCGAGGACATTTCCGAGCTGAGTTGAAGACGATGCGTTTCTTAGCACCGATAGACCGATTTAAGGTGCATGACGGGAGGCTCCGCCTAAAGAGTGACATCGTGACTTATGATTTCAGATAATAACAAAAGTTAAGAGATGAGATGCTCCACGCATTGATTTAAGTATGATATACAGTATAATGAAACATTTGAAAACTTATTGCAATTTACGTAGTTTAGCAAATAGACTAGCCTACTGAATAGTGCTGAACATGAACTCGTTAAATCGAAGTCACGGTCGTACTGAAAGATTCATACATCTCGCTAAGAAGACTGTGTTTGTATATGATCGCTGACAAAAAATAAATAAATAACCATAACACTACTCAACAATCTGTTAATACTCCCTCCTGTAGTTTAGGGTACATGTAAATATGTCTTCAATAAAAATAAATAACGTGCTCGTTACATAAGAGCTTATTTACGTTATTGCTGCTCATTCAAGAATTGTAAGCAAGCATATAAGTGCAATTTCAACACCATAATGCACATCTAAAGTAAAACTTCACTGCAGAGTTTGGTCATCCACATTTGCAAGTCAAAAAATACGTAAATGAGGGAAAAGTAGGTTATACACTTGTGTGATTTGTGTGAGCAGCGTTACCATGTGTGCGTGCGGTTTGGTCGCTGCTCTGAACCCAGATGAACAACTTAAGTGAACACCGCTGCCTTTCCGAGAAACGGCTGTCTGTGTAATGTGAAAAAGAGGGAGAGGTGTATAAAAGTTTTTTTTTTTTAACACACCGTTTTTTAATCGGTAGCAGCTAAATAAAGGAAAGGCAACCAAGGGAGACCAGAGTAGCGATTAGGAAAATGTATTTACAATCAGATTAATAACAGAATAAATACATAAACCTCCTCAAAAACATTGACACCTAAATGGAGAGAGAAAGAAGCCATAATCGTCTCTCAGGGGAAGTACTTTATTTTTGAAACCGTCTCAGCAATACAGCATGAGTATTCTCAGCTTGTCCTATCTTCACCTGCCTCTCTGGTCTCCCTTGCCAACTTGTTCCTTGCTCTGCTTAGCCCTCTCTCTATCTGTGCTGCGTGTTCTTCTTCACTGGTGTTTACTGGGGTACTGTGTGTGTATTTATATTGTATTGTTGCCTCCTAATGATTCCTTAATCAGTCACCGACCTTTCACTGTGTCAGTTCTTCGAATAAGTCCAGTGAGTAAAGCTGCTAACAGAAAGGGATGGTAGCCAAAGAGTACAAAAACACAGTGTAGCAGTTAAAAACATTTGATTTATTTATAATTTCAGAAAAAGCCGAAGACAGTTAAAAACAGCAAAAAATAAAATCAAGCTAGCAGTCCATTGTTGTACATTAAGTGCACAGGTGCAGGGGTCTTAAGACAAACGCTTTGGAACCCATCACAGCAACCAGTCTTTTAACTGTTGTGTCTCACTGGGGAATGCCTTCCCCATGCCCATGCCCATGCCACACCAGTTCCCCCAGCATCCGTCAGTTCTTTCCATTTTGATGCTTCCCCTTTCTCTGCTGCTGGCACATCATCTTTTATACAGAGTAAGCAGGTGTTGATAATTGCTTTGTTTAGGAAACTGTAGTAGGAAGTCACAACTTTTCAAAATAAAAATATGCAAAATATATAAAAAGTTGCAACTATTACTGGACATTTCTATAATTAAACATGTCAGATTACTCTTTTAATTTACCCTGCATACACTCAATAAATGTCATTGTCCTGGGTCATTTTGACCCAGCATTCTTAGTTTTCTTGTGTTTTTGTATTTTGTTCATTATTTATTCCATGGTTCCTCGGTTGTTCAGTTTAGTTTATTAGATTTCCCCCCGTGTCTTTACCCCCTGTGTCCCCGTCCTGTATCTGTGAGTTCCTATGCCTAGCTTCTTTTCCTTGTGTTTTATTCCATGGTTTCCCCAGTTCGTTATGTCTGCGCCCTTTTCCCAGGTGGGTAAGCCCCCACAGCCTCACCAGGCTGAATGGCTGCAAATCTGGAAGGAACGATGACCAGTGAAAGCACCACCTCTGGGTCAACGGCAAAGCTAATGTCCAGATACACCTGGGAAACAGTCAGAGATTGAGAAACTTGTAAAGAATTATTATTATGTGTTCTAATTAATACATAGTTCAGACACACATTTCACATGTAGCATATTTATTCACACATGTTTACAAAAAATGCAGTTTTATTTCTGAGGGGATGTGATGTCACCAAGAAATTGTTTAATACCTTTATGTAATATTCAACTGAGATGATTTCACAGTTATGGATAGTGGAGATGGCATCATCAGGAATCTTCAACTGGCAGGAGACAGTTCGCTCGGAGTTTGGACTGATAGTTTCCCCGACCTCTTTGAACAGAATTATCAGTGAGTTCTTAGTGTGGTACTTGCTGCGGTACACTGTATTTTGTTCAAGCTTGAATTTGGGGCTCGTGTGCTTTGAAGAGGAGTTGCAGATTTTGGCAACAACAGATAAAGTTTCACCTGTCAAAATCAAATCAGAACATTGAACTGCATTTTTAAATCTATCAATATTTGCCGTGCAACTTGAACCTTTATTTTACCTGGAGTGCAAACATTCCTCTCAATGGTAGCAGACATTTGGACCCATCCCCGGGAGAGCCCACCTATGTTTTTACTCACTGTACCAGATTGTGGACTCTATGAAAAACCACATCGACAGAGAAGATTTTTATGATTTATTGCCTGTGATTTTTAATATGATTTCTTTTATACCAAACACTTTTCATTTAGCACACGTTACATTTCTAACACTTATCAGTGCAGTGTTTACCATCCCTTCCCAAAACTGCTGAAATGTCTTGGAAATGAAGTTGATCTCTCGTTTAACTTTAGAAGGCCACCACCAGCTCTTGGATATCTTTGCTTCAAGCATGTACACAATTTTTCCATTTTCCCCCTTGAAGGATGAAGGCATGCTCCTGTAAAACAAAACCAGTGTGGAAAGTGTACATTTGCCAAAAAAAGAAGATAAAATGTTAATGAATATTAAATTCCCACTTACCCCTCTGGGAGTTTGAGCCTGAATTCAAAAGTGTGGACCCCTTTGGGAAGTGAAGTCCCTGCAAGATAAAGCTAAACACTTTTAAAAATGTCAGCTTCTTAAAAGACATACAACTATATTTACAGTTTACTGCTGATCATTAATATTTACATACATATTCTTTGAATGTAGTGTTTTGTTTATATCTGCAACACTATTCGAGTAACTACAAAATACAAGTTAACCCTTACATACAGTTCATATTTCATGCTTTCACAGTATTTAAGAGTCAAAACTGACCAAGGTCAAGAATGACCTCTTAAGTGTTTCCAACAAACTACACTACAGATAAATTTACAATCTATAAATAGCTTGTCTGACATTAATAAATGGATGATTAATCCTTAGTTAATGTTTCAGAGAGCAGGAAGAGTGTATTTTTTTAATGTTTTTTAACACTCATTTTTAGAGGAAAAACATTTGCTGTCACAGAATAGCATGTCATGTGTCATGTAAGACATGAAATTATAACAGTCATAATTAATTAAATATAAGTGAAAATGGGAAGACAGTACTGGAACTTTTGGAATTTATTATAACCATTTACAAACATTGCAACCATTAAAAATTGCCCTCACGTTTTATCATTAATTAAAAAATAATCACAACAAACATGCAGGTACAAAATGTGCTTCTTGGAAACTAGTCCGTGCATTTAAAGCAGTGTTAGGAATAATTGCATATTTGTGGTACTTGCATGTTTCCTCAGCTCCCTAAAATGGCATCCATAATCTTGTGAACCTACAAACTCTCTTTTCATCTGTCTTGAGATCAACAATTAGGACAGGACAATTAAAGTGTGGCCAGAGGGGACAGACGCAGTGCTCCAGGACAGATTTAAAAACACAGACTGGAATATGTTCACCCACACAGACCTGGACCAGTACACCTCATCTGTACTGGATTACATCTCCGAAACCACAGACAGTGTCACCACCCAGAAACGGATCACCATGTACCCCAACCAGAAGCCTTGGATGAACCGGGATGTTCGTCTCCTCCTGAAGGCCCGCAACACCGCCTTTAGGTCAGGAGATGCACACGCCTACAGCACAGCCAGGGCTAATCTAAAGAAGGGCATCAAAAAAGCCAAACACCATTATAAAAAGAAGGTAGAAGAACACTTCTCCAACTCCAACCCCCGACGCATGTGGCAAGGACTCCAGACCATTACAGACTACAGGACCACCAAACCCTCCCTCGCATCCTCTGATGTCTCCTTCCTCAACGAGCTCAACAACTTTTATGCTCGTTTTGAGCGAGGGAACCCCACAACCACAACCAAAGCAGACATGACGCCAGACCACCAACCTCTGACTCTCTCCCCCACCGATGTAGGAGCGGTGCTGAGCAGGATCAATGTCCACAAGGCTGCAGGTCCCGATGGCATCCCCGGGCGTGTTCTCAGAGCGTGTTCTGGGGAGCTTGCAGGAGTGCTGACAGACATATTCAATCTGTCCTTGGCCCACGCTGTGGTACCGGCCTGCTTCAAATCCACCTCCATCGTCCCGATACCCAAAAACTCCAACCCATCTTGCCTCAATGACTACCGCCCAGTAGCACTCACCCCCATCATCACTAAGTGCTTAGAGCAGCTGGTCCTAGCACACTTCAAATCCTGTCTCCCCCCCACCCTGGACCCCCACCAATTCGCATACAGCCAGAACAGGAGCACAGAGGATGCAGTCTCCATCGCACTGCACTCTGTCCTCTCACACCTGGACAACAACAACACCTACGCCAGAATGCTGTTTATAGACTTCAGTTCAGTGTTCAATACAATCCACCCCTCACAACTCATCAGGAAACTGACAGACCTGGGCATCAGTTCCCTCATCTGCAAATGGTTACTGGACTTCCTGACCAACCGCCCCCAACATGTCCGGCTGGATAACCACTGCTCATCTACCATCACAATGAACACCGGTGTACCACAAGGCTGT